TCCACGTGAGTAGCGTTGTTTGGTGGTTGAACCTATAGCAAGATTATATTCCGTATAAACATCTCGCATTACGTGCAACGCACGGAGCAAAATGCGGTATCGCCTGTAACGGCGGGGGGTCCTCAGACGCCCCAAAACCTCCGGGACCCTTCGGTGCTATCAAACATTCCGCATTACATGCAGCGCGCTGAGCAAAATGTGCACGGCACTTTTTGATGCGGTGGGGTATCGCCGCCTGTAACGGGGGGGTTCTCAGACGCCCCAAAACCATGGGACCCCTCGGTGCTATCAAACGTCCCGCACTACGTGCAACACGCTGAACAAATTGCGCACGACACTTTTTGATCCGGTGGGGTATCGCCTGTAACGGCGGGGGGCCGTCAGACGGGGCGCATCTGGACCCGTCCGGTGCCTCGTCCTCCGCCTCCGCATGGCACCGGCACCAAGAAAAAACTACAAAGCCTGCAGGTCATCAGCTGCCCCGTGGACGGCGTGCTCCCGGTCGTCAGCCGCCCAAGCACGGATTTTCAAAATGGCCTCGAGGCGGATGTGCGCCTGGGTCCAACCATGACGACTCGCCAAGGGGCAATCGGCCCTGGAGATTAGGTCCACAATGTCGGCCTCGGACGTGAACCTGTAGAATGTAGAGCGCAATTCCGTGCTCGCCGCCAGGGACCAGAAGGCGGACATCATGCCATTGACGGACGGGTCGCGCCCGTATATTCTATGGAGATTTATTGAGTGCCCACTGGCCTGCAAAGTTGTCCGTGAAGGCGATCCAGTCGTCGCCAAATCTGTCCTCAGGGTGACAATGGCTAGGATCTGGGCAACCACTTCGAGCATGTAGATGCACGCCCTCCTGGAGTCGAATTCCTGACGAACCAGTCCCGGAAGCCCAGGTCATAGAGGACGTCGTGGCCGATGAGAAGCACGTATCCCCAGCCATTGGTAGCCTTGTTTCTGGGCGACATGGCCGCATTGGCCGGCACATGGCCAGCCTTGTAGCGGATCCCGCCCTCCAAAAAGTAGGCGTCGGTGTAAATGACACATGTGGCCGCCTGACGAGGCTCATACGGGATGAACCTGGGCGACACCTTGTGCAGGATGCCCTTGAAGGGGCCCGTGACTGAAATCTCCTCCGCTACAAAGTCATCGGCAGTGTTGTTCAAGTTGCCCGCCGGAGGCAGGGTCACCATGCCGCTGATTGCCCGTCGCAGGCGTTTGAAGTCCCGCTGGCAAGCTGCGACACCGCCACTACGTAGGCGGTGTCGGCTGCAAGGCGGCCCAGGGCAGCCACCGAAGTCGAAGGAGGCGCCGCCATGGTGATGGCGGCAGCGGTCTGTAACAGGGGAAAACAGAAATGGCGGTTTGAGCAATCGACTGTGGTGCGCGCCCGATTGCTCGTTGTAACAACGCACACAAGTGTGTTATCAAACCATACAGTACTGTAACCCAAAAGGAGGATATGATCTTACTGTATATTGGGTACCATAGTCAAGTATCCACAAATAAAACACTACTCATTTGCATGCCGGGCTCTGGTAGCCCTGCGTGCAGTAGTGATGCAGAGAGAGGCACGACAGGACTGGTGGCCTGGAAGGACGTTCTAGACAGATCCGCTGAAAGTATGCTTGGCGGGGGGGATCTGCATTGCAGCACTACCGCAGCACTTGACCACAAACACCAAGCCACATGGCGTCACGACAACACATCGGACTCGTCAGCAGCTTTGCAGGCCTCTGGCGAAGACGTACAGAAGATAGCATCCTGGACAGTCACTTCCAGGAAGCAGAAATTGGCCCGCCAAAAAACTTCACATTGCACGACCTTTGCTGCCTGGGGAAACCAGCCAGCTGCATCTAGGGACAATGGCTATTCCCAGTCGCGGAGCTGGCATAGAAAACTCCGCGGAGCACGGCGCATGCTCAACATTGCGATGCGCATGGCATAATAATAGATACATAATTTGCCCAGAAAAGACGCAAACATTGACATGCCGTGGACGCCAAGGATCCCTGCATCCTTCATGATCCTTGCCAGTGTGAGCAGCTCATGGTAGCTCTGGCCTCGGGTGCTCCCATTCGAGCTGCCACTGCACGCTGCAAAGATGCAGATTCCACGCCCTCATACCTTGGGTGCTGAGAGAACAAAGCTAAATGTTGAGCATAACATTTACGTGAAGCTTCTTGATCGGAGAGATATGGGCTGAGTTGGACTCCTCATTGCTTGCATTCGCTAGAAGGCGACTACTGCTATTACTAGTAGTGCTACTACGACTACTCCTCCTACTGCTGCCACTACTTCGTCTTCATTATTCTTCTTCTTGAGCTTCTTGCCGCGGACCTCGTACATTGGATTGAGATCTCCTGCTCAAAGTTCAATCATACTCAATCTAGATTCTGGATCCAGTGGAAGCACGTGCCTGCGCCAACCTACTCTCTACACCTGAGCAAAGACATGCCAAGGCGCAGGGCCATTTGGAATGCCTGCTGGCCTCAGCTGTTGCTCATGGGAGCCACCACTTGCAGGCCTAGCACTCTGCTAAGTCTAGCTCATTGATACATATGCAACAGCACAAAGAGTCTGACCTCGCTGTGTCAACAAAATACATGGGATTCTTTATCGGGAAGGTTTTGTAGCTTGCTCTGCGCACCGAGCAGGCTTTGATACAACCTACTGATCCCCTATCTTTTCAGGATAGGGCTGTTGAAAAAAACACTATTTTCACACGTGAGGTGAAATTGCCCAGGTTCATAATATTTTTATGAAACTGAGAATTAGCATGCTCTACACAGTCTTGCAGTCTTGCATTTACGCTGCCGTGTACCCCTAGGCACTGCTCGTCAAGGGGCATCACATCCTGCGGCTACGCATCTATAAATTGTGGTGCCACCGCGGCCATTATCCTTGCTCTTGATTAGTAAGGCCCCCCCCCCTCCCATATTAATAACGTAGGGCCCGCTATTCCACCTATTCTAGGTAGGGATTGCAGACCGTTTCAATCGGGATTTTAAGGCATTTTAATTGTTCCAACTGACATAATGGGTTTTCTCGACGGGTTTTCTCGACTTATTTTTTTTCATAGATGTTGATTGGATTTAACCTTTCTTAAATCTGATTTGTTGTCATTAGATTCTACCTAAGTCCGCCTTCCGAATCAGCTTTCCTGTTCTGGCTTTTAAAGCAGCCAAGTTATGAGCCTTTGTTAAATTTATGCGCAGCTAAAAAACCCTGAAAACATGTGTTACTTTTCTAAGTGTTTTCCATTAATCTCTAAAGAAAGCGTCTCTCACGCAAGGTCAGTAAGGGGTAGCTCAGGAAGCAACGTTTGAGTCTCTAAATTCCTCATGAATCTTAGTAAGCAATTCAGGTCTGAGAATCAGCCGTCTTATTGGGGATTTGAGGTTTCGAAATTGAGGCTTTAGCTTGTAAAGCCTTAGACTGGCTTAGATATTGAAAATAAACCTTAAACCTACACCTTGTCATTTTCAGGGTCTGGGGGTAATCTTCTTCAAGTCTTTTTTTTCTCGCTTTGCCCCCTAATGTGGCTCAAAAAATCTTTGAACCTAGGAGGGTTGATTAATCAAGAGCACGGATTAAGGCGTGAGTGGCTCTCAGTCCTGAAAATGCCAAGGATTATTGCCGCAGCTCACGTGCTTGCTCCCAGCAGGCATTTTGTTTGCAATGGGGATGATTGTGGCAACAGGAGACTTACTTACGGCTGGTTTCAAGCGATGCTTGAGTAGGTTACAATGTCTGTAAATTTGCTTCCCATCAGCATGAGGGGCCGCATCTGACAAGTGCAGTGTTCCGCTTCGATGACGTTGCTGGCTTTTGAAGAGCAAGCGTGTTGCCCTCATGCTGTAGGTGCCAGCAGGGTTCAGGGAGCCATTGTATCTACATGTATCTACTGCATGACTCCAGTCCTTTGTGCTGCTAGGCCTAAACTTGACGACCAGTGGCAGAGACATCTCTGCTCACAATGGCCCTTGTGAACTTCACCGGATATCGATCTGCAGCATCTGGCGAAGGACAGCTATGAAACGAGTTGAGGCAGTGAGGGGAATTGCGGAAGCTAGTCAGGAACCCAACAAATCCCAACCCGTGGTCACATCCCAGCAGCCATCCGCTGAGCGCAGCCAGATCAGGCGAAAGCTTTTGGGGGCACCTTGGGCATGCAGCAGGCATACTGGATACATCACCAGGTAAGAATTCTAAACACATGTCCAAGACATAGGCTTGCAGAGGCCTCCAAACCATTGTCCTGCACAGCTGCTTGGCATGCGGTGCTTCCCTAACGGTCTTGCATCAAGTGACTCGCCGCTTTTGGCGAAGCCGGGTTCGATGATGGCCGTTGGAGCGGCATTGCCATGTGGGCGTTTCTAGCACATGGTGGGTGGTAATGTCTGCTGGGCTAGTTGGAACCTATCTGCGCTCAGTCCAAGGCCGTGAGAAGATTGCCACTGAATTTCTGATGTCTGCTTCAAGGTTGTGGGGTGTGTTTCCAGAACTGCATGTCTGTTGTATGACTCCCATGCTCGTGGAGTATCTGGCATCAGACACATACAGTCTGCCCTCGGCACTCCGAATCTAAATGGGTTCCATCCTGTCTACAAGACACATTTGGGATCTCTAGGGCAGCCCTACGATGACTAATTACATGGAGCCCTACACCAGCTCCACGAAGACTAGTGTCCTTAACCATAGGGTCCACTTGATCTGCTTAAGGGAGGCTGGATGAGAAAGAGTTGCTGGCATCTGCTGCGCATGCCGGATGTCTACTCGGTAAGGTGGAATAGTGGGCTTGCAGGAAGTACAGTGGAGTTTCGAGGCGCCTTATGCAGCGCACAGTCATTCTAGCATGCCATCGTGGGCTCTGGCAGCACAAGCTTCGGAAAAGGAGAATGGTAAACGCTGGCTGCATGACTGAACTGTCATCAAACACCCAAGATAACCACTACTGCAAGGCTCCCAATGCTCTTGCGCCTGCCCCTTTTCTTTCAATCTGAAAGCATGTAGGCTATCGGCCACGAGCAAACCTTGAGTTGGCAAATCGGCGAAGGCTCTGATTGATCTATGCTACGAGTACCTAGCATGGACAACGGTTACAGCAGGGGTCAGGTGTCAGACCTTCTGCAAAAGAAACTCAGTCTGCAACAGCAAAAACCTGTGCCACCAACCTACAAAGGCAGCTAAGAGACTGCCCCTGTCTTGTCACCGGCAACGAGTTCCCCGCGCACCAGGTTCCTTGGAAACGAAGGGCCGTCCGAGGTACCATGATTAGCAGGCTCTACCTCCAACATCAGCTTGTTCCAGGTCTGGGGATGCCAAGCTTCAGCGCCAGGCTATTCACGGCACCCCGCATTTTCACGGAGCGTGTCCGCAATCGCCGAGCCTCCACATCCTTATGCGCCACTGGTGCTGGCGGTTTGCATTAGCTCGAAGTGTGGCTGAGGATCCCTGACAAAGCTGGAGGTTGGAGGTTCCGTGGTTGTGCACACCATGTACAACTGACTGGCACCTCGTTGCTAATAGACTCTTGTCAGAAGGCCGGAGCTCTGAATTCTCAGGTGGGGCTCCCAACAGAAGATGTCGCCGTTTCGCAGGCCACATGCGACGACTGAGCTTTCCTAGGCTGCGACCAAACAGTCGCTTAAGTCGAGACTTGAGGCCAAGATGAAGCCTGCCCATGCGGGGTCAAGCGTCAAGCAGGGATTCCGCACTTTGTAATTCCAGAGCTATATCTGCACTGTGCTAGTGTAGATCGAGCAGCTGGCAGAAAAACTGCTGAAAGCACGGGGTGTTCGAAGTCTCCGAACCTCGTGACATTCAGCGCCATGACACCGTACAAGCGTCTAGCAGGTTGGAAATTCAAGAAACCTGATGCAGAATACAAACAAACTAACTTTTATCAGAAGCAAGCCTTGTATCATGATTTGCGCAGCAGATATCTGTGTCATTTTTGTTATCCTCTGTCGTTTGTGGTTGTCATTGTAATGTCATGTTCTGTCATTTGCGAAACAGCGCCAGATTCCAAAATGATTTCAAAATGACAACAACTTCCAACATGACACTGAGAATGACAGAACACGACAAAAATGACAAACAAATGACTCCTGAAGCAGTTCGAGAACAACAGAAAATTAAAAAGGACAAACAAAAACGACAAACACGTGACAACAAATGACAATGCTTCAGGAAATGGCGTCCCAAGGGCCTCCCCCCAGGCCGGGAGCACGGGAGCTCCATTTTGTCATGTTGTGTCATTTTTTGCATTTGTTGGTGATCATTTTCTGCCAAAGCAAATTTATTCCATGATGGAAAATGCCAAGAAAATGGCAGAAAATAACAACAATGTCGAGGGGCAATGGCAAAACATGACAAGAGGATGAAAAGGCCCAATGACAATAGTCAGCAAAATGACAACAGGCAATGACAAGAACATGACAAATACATGACAACAGTAATTTGGACCTTCCCTGTATCTACAGCAAAACATCTCAGCCGGCAGCTTCATGGACCGAGACACACTGAAATTCTAAATGAAGCGCCCACAGTTAAATGCTTTCACCGCAGACCGCTCAGAAATCATATTCAGATTGTCCCAGGGGCTGCTCAGTCGTGTCAACACGGTAGAGGCAAAGACGCCCAAAGTTCTCCTTCCCGCTGGAAATGGGACAGGTGAACAGGAGCTGTGCTGGGGCATTCTCTGAAGCGCAGCTAAGCTGACAAAGTCCAAAGAACGCAATCTTTATGCGAAATGTTTCAGCTGTTCCCTTCAGTGTGTTTCCGCCTTGAAGCCGCAGAGGCTGTACGCGAAGGTCGAGCGCTCTTCGCCCAACGGCGTCGCGATTTGCCACCTGAAAGTGAGCAAGTTGGCGTAAACACTTTCAACTAGTGCTTTGGCTCTGGTGTGGGGCTTTTGTTTTAGGACCTAGCTGCGGTCACTTAAGTCGGAAACTCTGTTGAGGTGTGCTTCTGGAGCAAAGATTGGTTCATCTGAATCTTGGTACGAGTAGCATGGCCATGGCGCGTGCTGACGTTGCTTTGGGTTTCGCTGCGAGTTGAATTCTCAATGACTCCACCAACGAAAGAACCCAAACGCTCTTCGGATAGAGAGTGGATGCACAAATCATGCCGTAAACACGGCCGAGGCCACAACCACCACTGATGCAAATGCCACCAACACCAACACTAACACTATCACCACCACCACCACCACCACCACCACCACCACCACCACCACCACCACCACCACCGCACCACCACCAAGAAGAAGAAACCACCAAGAAGAAGAAGAAGAAGAAGACTACTACTCATAACAATGATACTAATGATAACAGCGCGCTCTCCCACGGGGTGGGGTGGGGTGGACAATCAAAGCGACAGCAAGAGCAGCAACAACAAAACACAAACAAACACTGCAGCTGCCACCACTGCTGATGCTAAGACGGAGTTTGCTAGAACTACTTGCCGTTGCTTTGCTTGCTCTCCTTTACAGTGTTGCTGTGGGCTAAATTCAAAGCCAAGAAGCGGTATGTATGCGGCATCTGTGCGGATTTCCTGCAGCTTGGCCCCACTTTCGGGCTGCCAAAGGCAGATGCAATGGCTGCGATCGGATGAGATGAGAACCTTGCGACAGGTCTTTAGGATGGGCGAGTCCATTTTCTCCGTCTGCCATCGTCGGTTATTAGAGGGGCGGAGCTACTGCCTGAAGTTGGCGCACGACAGTGGGATTTGCTGAAAGCTCTGTGTCTCTCACTGCGGCAATTCTGCTTCAGGGCCTTCGTCTCAGGCCATTGTCAGAGAAGGACATGCTTGCTTAATGGTACTATGAAAGATGGAGGACTAGCCATGGATCCTTTGCTATAGCAGCTATCTCGTCTTGGATCTAGACATATCTCCTTGGAGGTCTTTGGGACTCACAGGGGATTTGCCGTTGGATATGGATCTACCGGGGATCTATTTACCAAGGATAATGGTACCACACAAATATCCCGGTATCCTATTCTACGGAACTTACACTGGACAAGAAAACTTGAGACGAACATTCCCACCACACATACAGTGGGACTTGCTGTTGTGACACCTTGTGACCGCTTGGGCTGAAGTGGTGATTGGTTGATGCCTAGATTTGGAATCCACGAATTTTTGGAGCGATCTAAAGTCATCAAGTACTGAAATCCATGTTTCATGAGATCAATCCAGGCGCCTTTTGAGGTTATGTTTGGTACACAAACTCATCCCAGCCTGGTCTGCTGCGCTCCAGGCCACGCAGGTCACGGTGCTGAGGCAAGTCAGCTTCCTTGTACCACAGAACATTGGGATGCATGAAATCTGTTTCTGCCCACATGCCAACAATTCCCAGGTGCAAGTGCTGCTCAAGGCTGTCTGGATTCCACAGGACGACTCGGCCCTGCGCAATATGGGAAGCGTGTGCCGCATGATTGCATGGCCAGAGCCATTGTGCGCGAAAGGTCTGCTCAGCTAAAATTCAACCCATCCTTTCAGCCCATCAAAACCCTTTGCAACAAGACAACTCATCCAACGTCACGATGGACTTTCTAGATCCGGTCCAATGGTTTGGGCCTGTGGTTTACTTTGGCTGAAGGAGCCATCACCAGTCACTGCCACACGCAGCTCCGGCACGAAGATCAGGCATGTGACCAGGTTCTTGTACCTGAGCATGATGCAATAGGATTACGCTTCCTCCCTCGAAGATGGCGCTGCTGGAAGGCTGAATACATTGAATTCTATGTCGTGTGGCAGCCTGTCCTTGTCAAGTTGCTTCATCTGCGCTCGGAGTTCCCCTGTGTCAGAATCCCACACTGCCACCTTGACAGGGACAAGCTGACACATGACACTGAATGTTATGTCCTCTTGGCACAAGAAGGTGCAACTCTTCCTTGCCCGCCAACCTTCCTACCCTGAATGAAATCTAACGTCTTGAAGACTTCTTGAAGTGCCCTCCTTCACCCTGCATGATTTTCACTTGGGCATGACAGGACTGCGAAAGCTTTACGCGAAAAAATCTATGAGAGCACGTCTTCATCAAACTCCCACCCTACGCTTCCGGCCGTTGAGCTCTCTTTCACAGCGCGACCACCGGCGCCGAGAACAGCGCGCAAGGGTGCAGCTGCTGTTACCTTGGAAGACTCCCTGGCTAAGTCTCCGAACACAGGATCTGCCTGTATTGGATGATGCTGTTCATGAATGCAATGCCTCTTTCCGCACGATGATTTGCCCATCTTTACGGTATGCACACTAGGCCTGCAAGATTTCACACGGAAAAAGCTGCTCCTTGTAGAGCAGTTCTGGCACAGCCCCTCTAGAGGAATGCTTTTGACGCCATGTGCGGGTTGCTATTGTTGTTGAAATCTGGGCATACGGCTTCAACGGGTGCGGACGCAATACAGTAGTCAGAATCTCTCCTTTGTGGGAAATGGGCTGCTGGTTCTCCTGATTTGTGTTATGTGGCGCCCAAGCGCTGCCAGGATGGGATCCTCAAAGCTCAGAGCACGCCGCGTGGCACCGCTGGCAAGGTCAAGAAGCGTTGCGGTACCTGGAAGGGATCCCTCGACACCTCCTGAAACGGATCATGAAGTAGAGTTTGCCGGGACCACTGGGCCCTACTCGACGTTTGTTGGAAACTGGATGCATTGCCTGAAGTGTCGCCCACCACCAGAAGGCCCAGCTCCTTTTGCAGTCTGGCATCTCTTTCTGACGGTTTGGGCACAATCCAAGCCCTCAACTGTACCCGGTCTCCGGGCAGGCACTCAGAGCTGCCACTGCGGAACCACTCTGGTGCAAGGGTGTAGCGTCCATAGCTTTGATGGATTCTATGGACCGCTGAAGTGTCATGGATACAAGTGCTTGTGTACGGTTCTGATGCCTCCATGAATGAGAGACATGTCTAGAGGTCAAGCATGAAGAGTCCAAGCTGGCGAAAGGCAGCGTGGCATGCAGATCAGAAACAATCACAGCCATGGCATAGCATAATCTACAGCCAGCATACAGAAGTTAGTCATAGTTAGTCATCATCCGCTATTTATTGCTTGAGAGTTGTGTACGACATTGTCCTGTGGAATCTGGAGCCAAGTGAAGCTGAAGAACTTGTGAGCCCTGTAACGTTCCTGGGGCCTGCTTCTCTGGTCCCTTCTGCCCACCTCCCCTTGACGTGTGCACTTGACGATATTTCTGCCGCACTGCGAGTATGTCAGACAACGAGTGCCAGGAGACTTTCATGGTGAAACGGTTCATCGTATTGCAAGCAGTGTCAATCTGAGAATCGGCTGCAGCGTCTTGTGCTTGGATCTTCTCCAAGAAAGCCGTTGGCACTGCCAGTTGACATCCAAAGCTTGCTTTATTCATGATCTTCTCTCATGAGATATGCAGCATGTGAGATAGTTTTAAACAGTGTAAGAGTCTGTAAGAGACTAGGTAGATCTGGTCCTCTGCTTCGTTCAACAAATGGCAAACTCCATTAGTTCTGAAGCCTTTTCAAGTCGAGGCATACCCAGCAGTGCGCCTGCAGGGCTCTGGCCTTGTCAAAGCTTTAAGCGCTTCGAGGCTGGTGTGTTCTCTGGTCTGGCTTCGCGCTGCTTCTTTACCTTGGTTGGGGGGGGCACCGTGAATGTCAGCACATCGGCTTCTTCGTCAAGCAAAACTGCAATTATCTGAGCGTACAACAAGCAGTACTCTGAGTCAATCGCAGCATCCTTCTTTGATATGTCGGACTTGGCGTTCTCCGCAGCCTAGTCTTCTTAGCAGGATGTGACGTGCGAAGTGCCTTTATCTAAGCACCGGCCTGTGACAGCAGCTCGCTGGCTTTAAGCCGCTTCTTCTGTTCTTTGACTTGACCTCGAGCGGCCTCCCAATATCTCCAGAAGTATCATGAAAGACTGCAAGTTTCCGGACATCTGCCAACTCAACTCAAGTGGTCGAACGGCACCGCTACACCAGCTTTACCGTAGTCTGGACCCATAGCTTAATGTATGATCACCGCAAGATTCTGCCCGCCAAATGTTTATCCAATTGTATGAGATTTGGAGGGCAAGACTGCGCCGACAGATCCTCGAAGTTTCCTCCATGACCACTGAAGCAGCCACCCTCCACTTTGCAAATGTGCACATAAAATCTAGCCATGCCTGACATGGGATACTGTCTTGTCAACTTCTGGTGGAGCAAACGCTCCCAAGCTGCAACGAAGCCCACCACCCTCATGAGAAACTGAGCAACATCCTTTGCAATCAAACGGAAAACATGTCCATGCGTGCATCATGAATTCTTGGCGAACATTTTGATGAAGGCTCGGCGGAATTGGAACAGAAGGGGACTAGTCAAAGCTTGACGCTGAGTGGAACAATACTGGATTGGCAGCTGTTATTCACGGTTACTACGACAGAGTACTTAGAATGTAGGAAGGGGCTGCAAGCTCATCCCCTTCGGTGCTAAGCTATGAAGAATTGGCGGCAGCGACTGGCATCACTCAGCCGCTGCCGAAGTTCTTCGTACGTGCCGTAGTTGCGTGGCCTTGGCAAAAGCAAGTGGGTTTTGTTTGCTTTGGCAGGCCAGGGCCCGAGCAGGTCCAACTGCAGCCCACAGGTGTGCGCAGTTGGCAGCCGCTGGGGGCTGGCGTCCTGGACTCAAGAAATTCACTTCCAGCGCCCCCTTTTAGAACCTCCCAGCCCTCTATATCAGGACCTCAGAGCAAACAGGCTGCAAGCGACAGCTGAGTTGATGAAGCTTACCCCGTCCGTGAGGTGGATTGTCATGAACGGCACAGGGGCCGGGAAGCCGCCTTGATGCGACACGCCAAAGAAAACTACAGCCCACCTGCAACCTCAGCAAAATGGGATTACCCATGTTAGAAGCCTTACGTGAGGACTGCAGCCCAGAACTTCCTTCCACAGCACCATGGATGAAAGCGGGATTTGCGAATTCGCTTCAAAGTGTGGACCCTGCCGCTAGTGCTCGCAACAACAAGATGCTATCCTGGACGCGAAAGACACGTCAAATCATTCCCCTTGTTTGCCTGGAGGGATCCGCCGGTACCCGGTGATCCACTGCCTGGGGCTCCAAGCTTTAGCTTTCAGAGCTGGATATTTTCATGACATTGCTGAGCGCCTAAGGCGTGTAGCTTGGGAAAGGCGCGGTGGCAAGCAACATGTGCAACTTCAAGGGACTGCAAATCATCGGCAAGGGATCATGTTGCGGCATGCGTCGGAAAAGCCACCTAAAGCTCCCTTCCAGCCCTGAGCCCCTCAACCCGGCCTCTTCTCTTCCCCAGACCCAGATAACTGATTAGATCATACCAGAGCCTGCTGCAATATCAGGCATACAAACATGTACATTTTGCATGGAAGGCCCCAACGTAAACCCCCAGCCAAGTCCAAGTCTGAAGGTGGTCCCAGGTGCAGAAGTGCTGAGCGCTCCTCAGCCACTAGACTCGCGACGTAGATCCAGAACCTTTGGGTCAGAAGAACTACTCACGCAAGTAAGTTAGTAAGGGTAGCGGTAACAGCAGGTATAACACTGGCATAAACTACAAGACGCAATGATCATACAAAGCAGACACTTCTTATTCTTCATCAAGTGGTTGTAAGCATAACGCCGCCCTGGCACTAGCAAGAGCGGCAACGCACGTAGCCTCAACTATGGTCGCACCAGCAACAGCAATAGTTGCGCCCGTAAAAATAGCGGCTGCAACAGCACTACAAACAATGGTATGAATAACTCAATAACCTTCTGCAATTTGAAAGTAGCAATAGGCTTAGCTTCTAGACACTAAGACTAGTGAACTACAAGTAGCACGAACAGCAATATGCATAATGCTAATCGTGTTGATGTACAGCAGGTAGGTTGGCAATGGTGTTGGGGTCACCGAGGCTTCTAGTCAAAGTGCCTGCATTGATTGTGGCTGGTGCCCCAGAAGGAAAAGTCTTCTGGAAATAAGCAGGAGGAGATGAGACAGGGCACCATTGCAGGGTCCTTTGCCCTGCAGGCAGCTGCTCCACCTTGTTCGGTGAGCACCTGCCAGGGGACTAGGAATGTGCCAGCCGACACATGCTCGACTCCTGAGTGAAGAGGTCACAAGAGCCCGAGCGTGAAGTTTCATGTGAGGAAAACAACGTCGCAGCAGATGCGAGTATGCTGCTCATGGCCGTTTGGCAACGTCTGGTCTTGCTTCTACCAGCCTGACTGCGAGAGACTTCTGATGTTGCAGCTCGGTACGCTCGCAACGCAAAGCTAAGCTGAAGCTCGCACACAATGGCCTCGTAAACTGCTGCCATTTTGCAACAGGAACGTCAACTCCGCCAGAAATCATCTCTTGCAAGGGACTCCTCTCCATTTGACATGAAGCTTTTAAAGTTTTGGTAGTGGCTTGGAGAGCTGAGAGCTGCTTGCAGGCTGCTCTACCAGTAAAACTAGCAAGTCTTCTCGTCCCGCGGCTCATTATGGCTTCATGAGGATAGCTCGTGCAAGGCAGTGTGCGGGCAAACATGCCAACTCTCTCCGTCCTGTCTGATGTGCGCCTCCTTTTTGCCCTCGGGCCATCGGCTGCTTCGCCAGTTTCAGGAGGGCCTTGAAGCAGGTTGCAAGTCAGAACCAGCTGAACTCAACGCATGCTTTCCCAGTTTGCAATGCTCCTTTCTGCACGACCAGTTGCTCGTGATGTCGCGCTTCAAGCAGATTTTCGAGCATGCTAATCTCGGGCCACCAAAAAAGAAGCTCTAAACTTTTTGCCCTCAACTGTGAAGAGCCTCGCTTTGCGCCACGAACCTCTGCAGCGAGGGTGGGCAGGATCAGATCGGGCACCTGCAGAGCTCTGCTTTGTGGGCGGCAAAACTCAAGACACTCTGTCTGGCTTGTTGGAGTGTGGAGTGGACTCTATCAGCCGTTTGACATCTTTTTTGGCAACGCCGCCAGCCACGTTGATGTCCACTAAAAGGGGAGACATGGGGAGACAGACTGTCTTGCCGCTGAGATGCCGCTCGCAAACCGCGCCACAGCGCCGTCAGCTCAGGAGACCTTGGAAGACCGAGAGGGTGCCTAAGGCGGGAGACACTTCGGACTGCCCACATTCCTGCATTTCACAACTGAATGGGCTTGCTCGATGAAAATCGATCACAAATGTTGGACAAGTGCTTTGACGGTGACTCTATGTTTGAGCACATTGTTGGCTGTATTTTCATTCCATTTATGTCTGCACAGGCACACATCCAGGATCAACGACGACAAGGCCTTGTTCTCCATGTGCTGCTGCACACCTACGGATTCGGTTTTGAAGCTTGTCGCACCAATCAAAAACAGAGTTGCCGCGCCTTCTGCTGATGCAGGACCGCTAAACTCGACATCCTGCAATGCCTTGCGAGACCAAGGTGGTGTGGGGCCCTCAGGCCTCCAGCGTCGGGATCTGCATGTCAGACTGAATCTAGGCTTCAACTTCTCCCCTTGCGTACGCCAACTGGCCAGCGTAATGTTCCGGAGCTCTGGAACTCTACGACTGAAGACCCTTCTTTGCTCAACTCTGAATCCTAGTTGGATTGCAAGTGCGAGTAGCAGATTTACATGCAAGTGTCAGCTGCTGTCATCCTTCCATCTAATCAAACTTATGTGGTTCCTGCTTGCACAGGCATGCCCGTTGCCTCACGTGGGAAATGGGCGCCCTGTCCCACCGCTCGCCAGAAGTCGTATTCCTCCTCTCAAGATGAGCCGTTTCTACGAGCAAGCCGATTACACTTTGAAAAGCATTGGGAAAAGGTCAAGTAGTAGGAGTTCAGCAATCAATTCCCCTGACCTTGCTATGCAACAGCACCTAAATGCGTTCCTGTATCACCGTGTGAGTGGCCCTCCAAATCAAGCCCGTTAGGCTGTTGACAAACCCAAAGCCCGGGAAGTCCTGGCTCACCCATCTCAGCCAATCCGCAGAGAAGCCCAATCTTTGGAGCTCGAAGTTGCGGCCTGCAACTTTGAGTTGCAAATCACATGCCCTGACTTGGGATAGTCGGAGGAAATTTCATTAGAACAGCCGGGGCCAACCGGTCCTTTCCAGACCCTATCTCCATTGGTGCTGACAAATGTCCGTTTGGAACTTGTCAGACTTGTCAGAACCCCTGGGGAGTTCCTTAAGCACTTTAAGCTCTTGCAAGATGTTCCAGCAATTTCCAGCAAATGACCGCGCCTGTGCCAGTGGTCTGCGCCACTGGAGACGCCGTCTCATTCTGCTGCCCTCGGGTGCTGTCACTGTCACTGTAGAAAGATTCTGCCATGGTGACTATATCTCTTGGCTGTAGCGTCACCGTCCTTGCAGCCGTGCCACGACCCGGTAGAATGTCAGGAGTTTCGCGGATGTTCTGCCAAGCAACTTTCAGCTTTGATTTGATTTGATTCATACATTTCCTATGCTAGCCATCGTGTCGGAAGTCCTAATCTTGCGCTGGCATTGCTGGCATATGCCCTGGAACACAGTCTGCGCCCCTTTCAAAGGCAGCCCACTTTGTGAGTTATAGTTGGGAACCTGAGATTGCACTTGGTGCCAAAGGGTTCTGTCCAAAGTGAGCGAGCGCGAAAACCGCGAGTCCAGCTACAACCGGCCCCCCTGCCCCGCCCCCCCAACGTGAAACCCAATGATCTGGAAATTCCCTCGGCAAGCTCTAATGGGTTCAATGGTAAGGGTCTCAGCCCATATCAGCCCTTTGACCCGCTCACCCAACACGGAACGCCTCCAGCGCAGTGGGCAAGCGCGGGTGCGTCAGGAGGTGGCAAAGCGGAGCGCACATCTCCTCAGCTGGGGTGGCATGGGTGTACGGCAAACAGGCACCAAGGAATGACAGAGTCTCTTTTCTCAGCATGCGGAGCAAGCTAACA